AAAGAAAAAGAAAAAAGACTACCAAGAAAGAGTAGGAGGCCATTTCCGTCTGTCCCTCTAAACGGCCTTTGCAAATAAATTTAGATTGTTTTCATACACTGATGAAGCACATCGTGCTGTTCACCAGACTGCGTGCCAATTCACTCTGAATGCTTTCAGAAATGTCCAATGGACAGAGAAGCATGTTCACTTCCACAATCATCTTTAACTTCAGGGTGACAAATTTACACTCCTTACCAAAACAGCACAAAACAATGCTGTTGGGAGAATCTGATCAATTCCGGTAAGCCCCAGATTCACGTGTTTTTTCCCTTACCTAATTTCACCTCTGCGTTTTCCGTCAGCAGCACATTCTGCCCTTTGATATCACGGTGAATCACTTTATGTTGGTGCAGGTGACTCAGCCCCTGGAGTGGAGGGAGAGAGTTTGGAAGCGTTGTTGCTAGGAGCATGAGCCAAAGCACAAATAAAGGTTTTAGACACTAATGAGCTAAGAAACAAATGCCAAAGAAATGGAACGTGCACAAAGCTACCTGCGCACATTTATTTGCATTTTCTTGGAGTTCAGAGTGCTGTTCTAAACCAAAGGCAACTGATCCCTATGAAGTGCACGACACAGGCACGTAGGATCTGATGGCAGGTCCCTCTGAATCAAACAGGGATACAGTTCTGATACACACAGTTCCCCCTGACAACGCTGACTCAGTGTTGTTGGGGTTAGGCGCCAGAGGCAATTCTGACCCAGAGCGCCCTCATGTACAGCAGAGCAAAACATCGCCTGGTCTTTCGCCATCCTCTAAAATTGTGCTTATGTTCCGGCTGATTGTTGAAGCCCCTGTGAGGACCCCCTGTCTCGGTTGAGGTAGGAATACCTGTAACGACTCTACAGAAAACGACCTTCATCTAACCGAACACCTTCCCCTACCTTTTGGGGGCAACGGTTCAATGTGAAATTAATTAATAGCACCTCCGTTAAACAGTTTTAATAAAGCTCCATAAAACATTTTCCGAACCAGTCAAGAAATGTCCCACTGGCTCTAGATAAAGTGGTTCACATGAAAAAGGAAAAGTTTCTATTTTCTTCATTGATAGTTATCACTGCCAAGGGATATGGTGAAGCTTTGCTCGTGCAACGAGACAGTGATTTCTGACATCCAAACCTGACAGAGTTCCATTTCTCAGTGCGCCAATCTGGGTCTGGAGTCATTGGGGTACTGAGTTCTACAAGCGTACATGTACCTCAGAGGGAGGTGCATGGTTCTCAGAGAAATCATAAACTTAGAGCAATTAAAATCTGAGTCTTAGAGCAAAGGATGACAATGCTAACCACACTACTAAATCAAGGGATTGAGTGCGCAGGGCTGCATTCCATTTTATGTATTTTCTGTTTAATATTTTTCCACAGTAAAGGTGGGGTATAAAGGGTGAAGTCCCCAAAAGAACCAGAATTTATTTTCTGAACTTTCTTGTTGAAGGGATTTGGCAGGAGAATATAGCTATCCAAAATGTCTACACCCACATTACATTCGGTAAGCTACATGCTCATCAGCCGTGGGGATAATGTCAGCTGTGATGGAGATTGCCGGGCAGACCTCTCTGTTTCTCTTCGAGTTTTATGTTCTGTTCTGCTCAAGAAGTGTTTTCTTTTAAAAGCTTTACTTTTATACCTTTGCACAGTGATTTCCATAATCTACTCTAATTGATCTTTTACTATGGTCTATGGCAGGTGCCAAGTTTCATGCAATCATGAGGCTACATCAATCGATGAAGCACTGTTTATTGAATGGAGAAACCTTCCTGCACGTCAGTGTTTCCTTTGCCAAAAATGCGGTGCCCAGATGTCACTACATATGTCTCTTGATGGTCTTCCACTGGACACTTATCTATTCTTGTGACAATAGCTCTGCCTTAATTACTTATTAGGCTTCTAATAAACTGTGATATCTGACGGCATCTGACTTCCAGCTGTGTGATTCTTCTTCAGCCTTGTCTTGGCTATTCCTGGCTTTCTGTATTTCCATACGGTTTTTGAAAGTGGCTTGTCGACTTTCATAAATTTCATGAAATTTACTGGGATTTGTTTGGGAGTACAATGCAATGATTGATGTATCAAATTGAAGAGAAATGGTATCTTTATAATATCAAGTCTTCTAAAGCATAACTGTGGTATATAGTGTACATTATCAAATCTCCTTTAATTGATCTTAGTAACCCTTTGTAGCTTTCAGTGTAGAATTCATTCACATCTTTGAGTAAATTTATTTCTAAATATTTGATTTTAATTTTGTTATCATCTTAAAATTTCACATTGTATTTGGTTTCTGTTTTGCTAGACCTCGTTTGCATTTGCTGCACAGAAATCACGTTTTTATGTCCTTCTTCCCTCGATTCCGTGTGTCCCCCCTCGCAGATCTATTACACAGCACTGCCAGGGAGCCCGTTCCTACTCAGCATGAGCCTACAGGGTCTCGATTCTCAGCATGACCGTAGATGACAACTGCCTGTGTGGGCTTCTCAGGCTCGCAATCTGTGCGGAAGCAGAAACGTCATCTTCCTCCTGTGGAGCAGCTAGTGGATTTGAACTGCGGACCTTGTGGTTAGTCGCCCAATGTAGAAGCCACCAGAGTGCCTTCCCCATTCTCCTATTAACAGCACACAATCCATTTCTGCAAAAGTATTTCATGGACACACACTTAACAGCTTGAATTTTTGTTCTCATAGTAAGGAAGGAGAACTTACGAATAAGTAATGGTTACGAGGCACAGATAGTACGCGTGCTCAGCGGACATAGAAGAGCAGCCTTGGTGTTAGCACTAAGATAAACTCAAGGAATTCAAATATGCCCAGTCATTTTCTTGGGCCAGAATTGAGCTCCATCAATATGGCATGATGGACCAGATTGTCTGTGTGTTAGCCTGTGGGTAAAGCTAGGTCAACAGGCAAAACCTTACCCAGTTGCTCTAGTTGATTTAAGAGATTAAGTCTCAAAGAATGCCTGTAAAGATATAACTGGGTGTGCTAGGTTTATGTGTGGAAATGACTAATGTCACCCATCTTTATAGACTATGTGGTAGAAAGGCATCACTACATTCATTATGATAGGCTAGTTATAGCTTTCAAAGTATAAAACTGAAATGAGTGATCAAATAGCTTAAAGCATTCATTTCTAAAACGTAACCCTTCTTTTATGATCAAAAATCAGATTGTTCATTGAAAATACCATTGGAAATAAATCTTTGTTAAGGGAACTCACCCAGCGTCAGCCTTTCACACGGAGGTGCATATGGCCTCCACAATCCGTCCCTCTACCTACACACAGAATGGCTCTTCTCTCTATTAGCAAAAACCTCTCTCCAATTCAACCACCATCAGCACCAATAGTAGCCTAAAACTCAAGAGATCTCCAATATGCTTATGGATTTCAATGGTTTGAAACAAAATTCAACATCTCCCCAAATATCCACTGTTACCTCAAGACATCAGGACGGAGGCCAGGCCCCACTCGTTACATACCCGTAAGATCTCCCTGCAGATGTAGGCGATCCATTCCTCCTTCAGCGTGTTACCTTTTGTGTTCTTGATCAGATCGGTGACAGAGCCAGCGCCACAAAACTCCATCACCAACTAGCAACGAAAGCAAACATGCCATCATTGTGATTACATCTTCACAATTTTCACTGGGTTGGGTTAATAAAGTATAGAGATGCCCGGTGGCTACTTTGGAATGCTATTCCTGCCAAGAAAAGTGGTCATACCAGAATTTGTTAAACATGAATCTTTTAAATTAGTTTCTTCCCAAAATGGTAGGAAAGGAACTTATTATTATTTTTCCAACCAAAAAATTAACATTGGAAATTTAGGAAACTCTTCGTGTCCTATGTGATTTTTTAAATATATGCTGATAGATGGTCTAGACATCATTAAAAATACCTTGTGTTTTTCCCTTGCACTTGAACTCACCTGTCCTACAAAAATAGGCTCACTCCCCTGCCAGGAAGAGCACTGGTTCTCTAAGTAGTCCCAAGTCAGGGCACCATGAGTGCACACTGTTTGTGTTATTAGTTTGTAAATGGCACAGTAAGCTGTCAGAGTAAGGACTATCTGTTTTTAATTAACTTCAGCAAATGTTCCCAGGAGGTTGGGCACATCAAATAAATTCAATAAACAATAAACCTTAATTTAGCACCTTTCATCTAAAAAGCTCCAAGCTCTCTATAAATATAAACTCATTACAGTGCTCAGCAGCTTCGTAAAAAAGGCAGAAAACAAATATCCGCTTTACGTAACAGGGACGCGGAGCCTGGAAGAGGAAAAACAAAGCTGCGTCACAGCTCTGATGTCCATTTCCTACGTTACAAAGAGATCATCCATTTTCATACGTTTCCTTCCCCTTCGCCAACCGTCACCTAACTAGGCACTTACTGACCCTCTTAAGTTACCTGGGGAGAATCCAGAATAACCACCTACCAATCAATGACCTGACAGTAGAGACAAGACTGAAATGGTGTCTTCATGGAACCTCATTGATGCTGTTGGTTTTGGCAAAATAAACATTCCCAACATCAGCATCAGATCATAAGATCCCCAAACGGCCTCCCCAGGTGACAAAACCTTCAGGGAAAAGTTGCCTTCCTTCTTCCTGCATCTCTAGTACCTAGTACAGTTAATACAATAATTGGCAAAAGTAGAAACTCAATCCCCACAAAATCATGAAATGGGCTTAATGCATGAGTTTCTAATGCTTCTATAACTTGTTTTCTTGTGACTTCTCACAAGGGAACCCCTCTTCTCCAGGAGGCTAAAGGAAATAGAATTACAAGGCATTTTCTAAGGAAATTTGGAAAATGACCACAATAGACTATGGTCCAACTGGATAAGAACTGTGAAACTACCATATACGACAGCAAGGAAGTGATCAGAGACCACAAGACCATGTCACCAGAGGGCTCAGGGGCCAACTGAAGACGTTCCCATAGGTTAAAGACGGGCAATTTCAGCATTCGTAAGAATAACAATGCCAATGTCTTGAAAAACATTTAATGGGTCTAATGAAATTATTTAATACAGATATTCCCTCCCCTGGCAGAACTAGACAGGAGGCAACCTCTTATTTCAAAAGCTGAAAAATAAAGGGAAAGAATCATGTGTTTTTATCTACCTTATATAAACATTATGCCCAGGTGTCTGAATAATAACAGAGGGAAAGCTTATCCTTAGGAAGAAACAAAAAAACCCTAATAAGTGGACAAGGAATATACAATTCGAATATCACGTTTTTGCAACCCCAGGACAGTAACCAGTTTGGAATGGCCAGTAACCGCATGAAACAAAGAAGACCCAGATATGATTTGCTTCATGATAGCAAAACACAGCAGCACCTGTAACACAGTCTGGCTCCAAAGAGAAAACAGAAACAAAATCCCGGACTGAATCGATTCGTTAGATTCAACCATCAGTTTACAGGAAATTCAGAAAACTGAGGAACATATTAAATCCTGAAGGTAAAATCAGCAAAATCCAGATGAGGAACTCAACAGGGCAAATAGTCTGTTTCTACAATACCTGAAATGCAAGGGGGTAAGAGAGAGTGGACACCTACAGACTTAGAGCGGGACAATGAGATCTACAAACCAACTACAGTGCATCCATCTCATTCCAATATTACCTTTCGTAAGTTAACGAAAAATCATGAACTATTTTGTTTAAAAAATACAACTCATCATAAAATCTAGGTATTATTGCTACTAAGAAAATGTGGTCAATATATTTAAATATATATATAATGGCATTATGATGATGCCACCCAAGGTCTTATCTTTAGGAGAAACATAGTGAGACATTTATAACTAAAATGAGAAGTTAGTAGATAACGTCAACATCATTCTGGCCAGGGGAAAGCCGATGAAATGCAGCTGAGGCAGGGCTGGCCATCCCTTTGTGGTTGCTGGGGCGTATGTCGGGCACATCTGCTCACGGCACTGCTCTGTCTGCTGTTCGCTGCTGTGGAGTCTACTTGTCAAGTTCATGAGCATCCTATCCTGTGGCAAACCATGGAGGGACAAAAGAAATATCCTTGGGCAGAAAGACAAGAAGATGGGCGTTCAAACCATGTTGTTGTCCCTTCTTCCAATCCGATTTAGGGCAAAGCAGTGGCCAGGCCTTTTACAAATACATCTCCTGCTCTGATCAGCTAGAGATCAGAGAAAAGGCCTCCTCACAGCTCTGTTAGGCTCCACAATTACAGTTCCCAAGGAAAGCAGTGGAAGCCCAGTGACTCCAGACTTTTAAAATTAGACTGGACCAAAGGCTTTCAAATATTCAGGAGGAAACAGTCCTACTCTAGCACTAATGTCAGTGATTTCTATAATTTGCGGCTCCATTCAGCTCCAGCTGAAGGCTGCTAAATTCTTTTCATCTCACGAGGGAACAAAATGATTGTTAAATTATGTAATGGGATTTAAAAAAGAAAGAAAGAAACATAAAGAAAGGAGCCAGCACTTGCTAGCAATCAGTTCCTGCAGCCACACAGCAACACTGATAATTACTGCCACCACGCAGCGGGGGCCTTCCCTCGCCACAGGTAACCTCGTCACAGAAATAAACAGACACAGGGCTCAACATGCCAAGCCCAGCAGTGATAAGTCAATGACTTTCCGTCTCACAAGTAAGGGATAATGGATCATTAATTTAAAGTTGTCAAAGACTTGGTTTATATTGGGGCAGTCACACTTGCTAACATTTACCGAGAATTTACCAGGTGCCCGGCACTGGGCTCAGTGGTTTCCAATGGCTGTTTTATCCATTCGTCCTTCTCTTGATTTCCCTTTCCTTATTCATTTGGGAATTGAGCTTAGTTATGGTCTATGGCATCATCCTTCGTATGTACTCATGAAGTAAAAAGAACAGAGTTGAAAACGGGTGCTCTCCCAATTACTAGTCATGGGTCTGTTCTCTAACCACCCTAGGCTGAGTAGCAACAACTCTTTGCTAGGGTTGACAGGCACTATAGAGTTGACTTTAGATTCATAGCAAACCATGTGACAGAGTAATACTGCCCATAGCTTGTTTTAGGCTACAATCTTTACAGACCACCACTCATGTGTTAGTTGGTCCTTCCTACAAAGGAGCTTATGTGTTGCTGCAATGCTGGGAGCTATGCTAATAGTATTTCTCATACTAGGAGCATTAACCATAGTGGACAGGTCTCAGGGGAGTTTTCAGACTGAGATAAGACGACACAGAAAACCCTGGTCATCTACTGCTAAATAAATTGGCTCGTGAAACCCTTCGGAATTGCTGCGGGACATTATCTGCTGGAGTGCAAGGACAGGAGCTCCTCAGAACGGAAAACATTCACAACAGAACGGGGGCAGAGGTGCTTCTTCAAAGTAGAGGCAACCCTAACGATGTGGATGGAGCAGTGTGGGGATCTTCATCTCCTGAGGTGGCGCGACTTCATATGAGGAGTAAGCGGTAGAAGATTCACTAGTAGTCCGAACTAGTACGCAATATGAATCTAAGGACAACTGGATTTTGTCAAAAATGAAATGAAATGCATAGAAACCAACATCTCAGTCGTGAGCAAGGCAAAATGGACTGGTATGGGCTACTGGGAAGCACACATATGATTCACTATGCTGGGATGAAAAATTAAAGAAGAATGTACTGCAGTCATCATCAAAAAGAACAATCCAAGACCTCGTCTGACGTACAACACTGTCAGTGATGGGATAAAACCCACATGCCTACAAGGGACACCAGTTATAAGGCTAGTATTCCAGTGTATGTACAGACTAGTAATGCCCAAGAGAAGACAGGGAAAACTTTAATGTCAGCATTCTGAAAGTGATCAGCCATGCCATCAGGATGCATTAGTAATTACTGGTGATTGGAATGCGAAAGTTGAAAATAAAGAATTAGTAGTTGGAAAATAGGGTCTTGGCAATAGAAACTTTGCCAGAGATCGCATGATAGAATTTTTCAAAACAAACTACATATTCATTGCAAATACTCTTTTTTTTAACAAGAAAAATAGCAACTATATAGGCAGACCCTGCTGCATGGACAAAGGTATCAAAAAATAAGTGTATGTGTGGAAAGAGATGATGATGAAGCTCAATATTGACACAAACTAGGCCAGACCATCAATTGATTACATGCAAATTCAAATAGAAGCTGAACAAAATGAAATAAATCCACATGAGCCAAAGAATGACCTTGAGTATATCCCACCCAAATTTAGAGGCCATTTTCAAGAATAAATTTGATACACTGCACACTAACTTGTGTTTGAGTACGGGATGCATTATGGGATGATATCAATGGCATTGTACAAGAAGAAAATGAAGGTTAATAATAATATAAAAACAGGAAAGAAAGAAACGATGAAAGGAGATATTTAGAAGAGATCCTGAAACGTGTTCTTGAACACAAGTAGCTAACAGAATGGGAGAAATGATGACGTCAAAGAGCTGAACAGGACATTTCAAGAGTCAGCGTGGAAAGGCAAATGTTACAATGAAATGTGCAAAGACTTGGGAATGAGAGAATCAAAAGGGAAGAACACGCTGGGGATTTCTCAAGCTGGAAGAATTGCTTGAGCTGTAATACTGCAGGATTCCACT